TGAGAACAAAACTCAAATTTTATGGAAGTAATTTGCATAAATATAATTCACTTCGATTATATTCTAATTTGTCATTTATAACTTTCTCAAGTACTCGACAACAACCGAATGTTCGATTTCACCGAACAAATAATTATTATAATTTAAATTGTCAAATCGACCTGAAAGTTATTGATGGAAGAATGATTGATGAATGAATTAAATGTTATCCCATAGGTGTTTCGCATTTTCAAACAGGTTTTGCATCGTAGTTAACAATTATATCTGACGGAGATACTTGCAGCCTCGTCTATAAATAGTTTACACAGTAGAAATAATTATTAATCGATTCGGGGGAGTCGGGGCGGGGAAGTTGGAAAATGCAATAAAATAATAACAGTGTGTGATCATGTCATAAAATGGCTACACGACACACTTTATGCATAATGTAAAATAGCAATTATTGATTGAGTAAATAAATTAATCAAATTTTTTCATCGGCTTAAAAAATCAATTGACAACTATTCTATATATAATATTGTAATATTTCTTTTTTGTATAGAAAAAGGAAAAATTTTCTTAAAAAAGAAAAAACTGAAAACATTTTTGCGCTAAGTATTTTTCAAGTTAAAATTACTGCACGCAAAGAATTTTGATCTTCACATTCCTGATCTTTGATCATTTGCTAGGTACGCGTTTGAAATTTTTAGAGTGAAAAAAGCGAAAAAAAGCATTTGCAGTTGAAGCAAGCATTACTTTTTGAATTTAATTGGTAATAAAATTTTTTAAATTACTTAATTATTTCAATGAAATTCCTACGAAACGATAAAATTTGATCAAATATTTGACCTTTCATTCGCCGCCATTATGTTTAAATTTTCAAATTTACTCAAATTCTTAATATTTCGTATAATCTCATATTTTCGCTGATTGGTGGAATTTGAATGGCCGATAATGCGTTGTGACCCATTTTACTCATCTTTTATAATATCGTTTCAATTTCGGCCACCTAATTATTAAATATAACTTACTAATTTCAAAGCTACGGCTGACAAAAAACTTAATTAACTATTAAATATAATTAATAATGAAAAGCAAGTAATTATAACAAATGATATTTTTTCTTATTCTGTAATTTGCTTATTTCAAACGTAGCAGCTCTTTTTAAGATAGTCGAACAAATAACACTTAATGATAATCATATCACTTTCTTTAATTTCCTTTTGCAATTTTTAACACTACTTTTTCATGCTAGAGCACTTCTAAAAATAGTATGTGGATGTATTAATATATTCGAGATTTGGACCTCGAGAGTTTAATGCATTTGATTTTTCAGTCCACGTATGTTGAACTTGAATTGCATGTATTCAATATATTCATGACTTGAATTCTATGCATTTAAGATTTCCGTCCCACTTTATTCAGGATTTTTATACTCGAGATTTCACCGCACGTGTTGAATATGTTGAATTCAGCGTATTCGATACTTCATTACAATATGTCCAAGATTTGAGTCCTACATATTTTCATTTCAATTTAAGTTATTTCAATTCTATTAATATCATAATTTATGTTTAGTTAATTTATTAAATTATTTGCTCTCCCTACAATAACATGGCATACTGTATGAAATCTCCATGATACTGATAAGCATTTGTGTTTTGAGCGGTTTTGACTTATAAATGAACACTGATACGAGGTAATGAGAAAGGAGAGGGAAAATAAAAGAAATGAAGCAAATGTAAGTCGAATCATCATGAACGAAACAATTAATTATATTGGAAAATTAAACTATAAAGATAATCAAATGAAAAAAAGAAAAAATTACAATATTGAAACTCATAATTTCATAAAACAAAATCGATTGCTTATAATCTTTTAATATTTTTCTGTTTAATTTTATTCCTTCCTTTTATAATGAAATTTTAATTATGATAATAACTAATTGAAATTTAAAGATATCTGAATTGGCTGGAATTACAATATCACCGGCGGAATATGTATGTAAAGATAGAAGAAAGGAAAAAAGCATTACTTCTGCTTTCTTCCCTTTTAGCTAAAAATCAAAATTATAATAATTATAAATCGAATTAGCAATAAAATGATGGAAGAAGTGGAAGGAGAACAAATGAGAAATAAATAAAGGATGTTTTATTATACAATGATTGAAAAAATTAAGAAAATTAACGACTTTATAAAAAAATAAACAAATTTTACAAATATATTTACACGTGTAGAAATCGTTTTTCACAAAAAAATATTACTTATTTTTATAAATTGTAAGGAGTAGAACAAATATGCAAATGCAATTTAAACGGAAGACGTATGGAATGAAAAAGGATGTTGTTCCGACATGATATTTTGTTGCGGTCCGGTTGCTGCGTCTTTCCAAGTAGTGTAATTCTGAAGAATTTAAGTAAACAAATAAATACATGTCATAAATCGAAATTTAAAAATTAGTACTGCATTTGCTATATCATTATAATGTATTAATTAAATGCTTTCAGATCTATATTATTAATGCTGCATTTTTTTTTATAAAAATCGAAAATTAATCAAAACTTTGGATCTACTAAAAAAAAATCCCAATTTCAATACCACTCGGAAAATAAATCAAAACTGATGTTAAAAATTGAATGTGTGTGTTTGTTTTTATTGGGAAATTTTAGAATTTTGACAGTTCAGATGCATGAGATGATCTAACGAAGTTTCGATTCTAAAGTTTGACCAGAAAAACAAGTAGGAGTTAGCGATAGACTGATATATAAGCATTTCGGATAATATTATGATACTTTAGCAATAGTTACCTGACGAGGGTGAATATTTCCGGATGTCTCTGGACGTGGACAGTTCCTTTGTTGTCTCTGAGATTGCGGATAATCCGGTTGGATGGCATACATGGGTGGTGGCGGTACGTATGCAGGCTGAGTATGCATGGATGATTGCAGAATGGGTGTTTCAAGACTAGGAGAGTAAGCGCTACGCGGTTGTCTAGAAAAACAATTCTTGTCACGTTGAAACTTGGAAACATTTAAATCGGACAGAGAGAAATTTCTCGACATAACTGTCTGTCTCTCGAAGCCGTACATTATTTAAGATACATATACCAATGATAATTAATCAAAAATCAGTTTGAAAAAAAAATGATACAAGGATTTGAACCGGGAAAACAAAAGTTATATGACCGCATTATTAATCTATTTATTAATTTTGGAAGAGATGTGATAATAGGAAAATAATCATTTTTGTATATTGATTTTATTGCAGAGAGTATCGTCAAAAAGCTATCATAGTCAGTTATCAGCTAACTTTAGTGCTATATATGTAATAAGTAATCTTAAATTTTGGAATTTTGGAAAAATGCACCAAAATCCAATAAAAACTAACTGATGTGGAAATGGTGCTTTTTCATTCTTCAATGATGTATAGGTAATAGTTGGTGCTCGTAAAATGCTGGTTGTTCTGGATACAGTACTATTGCTTGTATGTCTTTGTTTTTTACTTCTTCTCATCTAAAATGATTTAGTACAAATCACATAAATCACCGGAATTATTTGATGAAGTATATTTCAGGATGATGAATTACATTTATCTGACATGATTTCCAGATGATAATACGACTACGTATTGATAACTATCTCGAATGAATCGACTGAAATAATGTTTACACTCATCTAATAACCACCGAAATATCTTGTATCAGCCTTTGTTGGTTTGATTTTACATACTTAAAATTGCAAAAGAACAAAATATAATTAAGTAAAAAACATCTCATTATTAAAAGACAACTTATCAAATTCGGACTAATTTTAAATTTGAATTTAAATTATTGAATGTGTAAATATATTTGTCTAAAGAGAAAATAAAGAAAGTTTGTGAGCTGACATAAATATATTCAACATATCCTTTGAATTGAAGAAATTGCCAACAACAATAGAAATAATAGTAAAAAACAAGTGTTAACGTTGTTTTGTTACCATACAGTGGAAAAAAATTACTTTATTAACTAACCCTTTTAACAAATCCGAAATAAATGACTGCCGCACATATTCCGAAAAATAGAATACCGGCAATTACTATCGCAAATATTATACCTACCTGAAAAAAATGGAATAGAATAGAGTAAAAAAGATGCTGAATTACACTTTTTCAAAATGTTTCAAAAACAATTTTATTAAAATAATAAACAAATAACAATGAACAATAAGTGTAGAATCATAAAAAAGAAGAATGATTAAGGTTTTCAAATAAAATTTTATATGATAAATAAATATCGTAGCCTTGTTAAAATTTTGCATATTGCTTAATAATACTTATAATTATAAGTACGAAAAATAATGCTTATAATGATAAGTAAAGAAATTTTGCAAGAGTTTTTAGAAATAAAATTTACTGCTAACATAGGATAAATTCTAAATAGCACTTAACGGTGATTTTTTTCTTCTCTTTATCAAATATTAATGATTATGTGTCATCGTTTATGCACTGATATTATTTAATAAATTGCTACTTTTAAAATTTGGTAGTACGATAAAGGAAGGATTCATCGCAAGCATATCTTATAACTGGATTCGAATCTTGATATGACGATATTTGGATTTTATGAAAATGGTGGAAGAAAATAAATCATTTACAAATAATGATAAAATTAAAACAAACTTGATAAGCGTAGTAACTACTGGAATAGCTCGTAGTATAGCCGTCTCCATAACGGTAAATATTGTTATAAGCCATTCAGAGAATAATGTCGAACCAGTAGCTAATGATAAAACAAAAATTAATTCAAGAATACGAAAATTAATTTAATAATATGATAATTCATTTATGCCAATTTATTCGGATGAATCGTTCAGAAGAAAGAAAAACCATGTGTTGTTAATTTAACAAAAAGAAAAAGAGATTAAAATTAAAAATGTTCAAATATTGACAGAAAATAATTGAAGTGATAATAATAATTATTATCGATTATAGGTGAGTATTTCGTTTGTTGGATGATGATACATATACACTTATGCCTGTATAGTCAATGGAAGAAGGGAGTTACGATTGGAAAAAGTAAACAGAACGATGTAAATGTAAATAATGTACAAGCGATTGAATTAGAATATTGTCTTATGGATGTTTGTTAAAAGGAGAAACAAAAGATTTGAAAAGAATTGAAATATGACGAAAGAAAGCAGTAGATAGATAGACGAAAGAAGAGGAAGAAAAAGAGGAGGAAGAGGAGCTAAAGTTAAACAAACAATCAAATCAACGAAAAGGGAATTAAATGCTGGAGGTGAAGTAGAAGAGAGAGGAAAGGGAAAAGTTAAAAATTTTCGTTTTTTCCATTGCAGAAGGAACAGTTTGCTTGATATCAACGAGAAGAACGATAGAAAAAGTCAATGTGTTGATTTGATTAGATACATTAACGGACACATTGTTTGTATTACGGAACAGATTGCATTCCGATGTGTTAGCAATTATTTTAGATTTGAACGTATCTATTCAAACAGAAAACCAATCAATATTGCTATATAAATGAACGTGTCCATTTGAACGGAAAATCAATCAATATTGTTATATAAATGAACGTGTTCACTTAAATTTCAAATCAACTATTGCTAAATATACGGCATTTATTAAATGAACAAATTAATATCATCACGTTTTTTTATTTGTTATGTTCGATATTTATTAACAAATCGTTCAAGACTACCAAAACGCAACAAACATAACATCGGAATATTGTGACTTTAAATGTATTTGATTTTTTTTTATTGTTGCAAATGTTGATAATATATATTGCATTGAAACCGTATGATAGAAACTTGCTTGATAGCTTAAATCGACAAGGAAGAGTATTCTACAATTCTAAATCAAATTTATCTTGTTAAATTGTCATAAGATTCGGTTCAGGCGGCAGCTGATACATTAGATAAAAAGAAGCCGACATAAGATTTTCATTGCAAACAGGAGGAATTTTCATAAATTCAGATTAAAACATATCTAAACACATTGTGGATAACTTTTATATGCTAACAGTAATGTTATAATAGATTAAAAATACTATTTACAGTCTGATGGAATCAAATAAATTAATTTGAAATTTTTTAGTCATGAAATTTCCTTATTGTAACAGTTTATTTAGCATCAAAACTGCATTTTTTCTCAATCCAAGTTAGAAAAACAACTGATTTTACAGAGTTATTTCAGAAAATCAATACATACTTTTCTTATTTATTACGCATTGTTAGTCTAAAATAGATTAGCTGAAACAATTTAACAAATAATTTTTCAGGAAAATTATTTTGGGAAGTAGTAATATATCCGCAGCATGTGTCTGTACGTAATAATTAGCCGATAGAGATGTTGGAATCTTGGAATCATATTGGAATGATCAATCAATTATAATAATTCTGACAACGAATTTAGGAAACAGTATTTTCTTCTTTTCGATATTTGTAACGTGATTTAATTTTTTTATGACAGATATTATTTCGATTTAATTCTCGCTGTATGAATATAATCCACTATTGACATATAATTGATATCAGCCTGGGAAACCAAAATTTCAATCATTTCTATTATTTATTATTCATGGATATTTTTGCGCTGCTCTTATTTGAGTTTTTAATAATTTTCTAAAATTTCATAACAATCATTTCAAACATTTGCGTGCAATGGATATTCCACAGCATTTAATTTTTCATTGTGCAATAAAAATTATTAAGCTCATTCATTTGTGCGAATGAATAATGCATTTTATTTAAAAAAAGGAACAATTTGGAACAATCCGAAAAAAAACACGTGATTTTCAAAGTTCTTTTTTTTAAATAATTGACATGTTGAAGATAGGAAAAGCAAAATAACAAATTTAAAATCACAGCAAATAAGCTGTTAAGCTTTTGTCGATATAATTCGTATTATTTGTTTAACTTATTTTTGAATTATTTCTTTCTTTGTTAAATTTTCAAAATTTTTTCAACTTCATTGAATAAATTTTTCTTTTATTTGCTTTCTTTTTTTGCTTAATATATGCCAGTTCAATATGACTATTTAAAGGAATCACTTATTGTTGTAAGGTAAAACAATATGCTATAAATTAAATGCAAAATTCTTCACAAAATATTTTGCTTTGATACTATTTATGCAAATAAAAATAACTGATAAGGAAAAATCAATTATGAAAATTTTAAATTCTTATATTTTCACTATGCATACATTTTGTAATTTTTAGAATTAATATTTACAAGTAATGAACAAGTTGTGAATAATTTCAATATATGTTAGATGGAAACAAGAGATAAGTAATTGACGATGTTTGCAAATTTGATCAATCTCGTCATATATTTTGCGATAGTAATAATATTTGTTTTAATGATACTTTTGTAACGATTCTAACAAAAGATCGGGAGTTATTCTAATTTTATTTCATTTGTCTGCAGTTCAAATCACCTAAATTTAATAAGCCATTCAAATTCAATATTTATCTTATCAATAATTAAAATGGTTCATTTGGAAATTTCGGACATTGAAAAATGATGACGTGCATTCATGCAAGAATCATTTTATACGGTCGAAAATTTTGTTTCGTCTACGCTTTGAATTATAAAATTAAATAATATTTCGCCAAAACATAAATTAAGCAGACTTGTATAAACTCAAAAATGCGACCATTCTAAAAATTAATTTCAGCATATTTACTTACACATTATTTGTAATAAATAAACACTGATATTTATTAATATTCTCATTTCTTTTCCATTTAAATAAGTAAAATACAATTTTAGGTAAAATAACGAAATTTTTTTTTCCAAAAAGATGTTTTTCTTATTTTAAAGCAATTTTTCTTTACTTTTTAACTATTACAGGCTTCTTGGGCATTTGCTAAGTTGAAAAATAGCAAAGTATCTAATAAAATTGGATAAAACAGAAATTATTATTTTTTTCAATATTTACTGATGCAATGCTGTAAAGTAATGTGTCAATTTTAAGTATTTATTACTGCTTAACAAACATTTTTTTTTGATGTGTTTAACAAATATTTTTCTTTTTTCTTGTATTTTTTTCCAATTATCAAACCATAAAGTTCTTAGATTGTTCTTCGGAATGATATTGTTTATACAGAATGAAATATAAAATTTTCCACAATATATTCATCGAAATATTTTGTAATTGTTTGCTTCAATCGAAAGACATTCGATTAAGGACATTTTAAGATGATTGCACCTGAGAGATTACTGACGGATGCATTAGTAGGTTGATATTACTATACTATAAATTCAGATACACACGTACGAAGAAATTATTCCGCCACAAGTTGACCAGATTACAGGTAATACTCATAAAGAAATTTCAGAAAGATTTGAATAGCAAATATGCAAATTTTTCAGAAAAAACTCTAAAAATAAAAAAAATTTTTTAAAAGGATATCTAATAGCTAAATCTTAAATGTGATGATTGAAACTTAAACATTTTGAAATAGATAATGAGTCTAAAATTTGGAACGTTGGTAAATTATTTAAAATAATTTC